TAAAAACGTCCCATTAAATGAGAACAGCTGATTAAACACTAATGAAAACATACCTGATATTATATTACAGTAACACAGTGGAGCTTTAATTAACGTCACGTAATAGTAATATAATAATAATCTGATAATAACTGTACGTTAGACCATAATGTGAGAGGAATAATGGAAATATACAGGACTTTGTTTTCATATAAATTGTTTATAGACTCTGAAACTCTGTATTAATGATTTCATTATTAATTAATCTGTAGATTATTTCCTTCATTAATAGTTGAATCTTTTAGGTCATCAAATATAATAAAGAACCAAAGAAAACATTTTTACCCGAAACAATGAACTATTAATTAACTAAATAGTTGATTGTTAATTTGTAACAATTAATCAGCTATGTGTTTTTTTAAAAGGTATATAAATTATAATTACTATTCAAAAACCCTTTCACAAACCAATAAATCACAACATCAGACAATCGGTCTAAAGTTTCCTCTTTCAACCAGTAAAAAAACTTAAAACACTGAAATCCACAGTGAAACCCACCGATGGTTCAATTACTATCATATGTGACAAAGATTAAAGATAACAATCATCAAACCAGCCGACTGTACTGCGGTCTGATCGTAGATCAATACGCCACTCTCACTCTTCAGGTTCACACTCATATCTGATCTTATCACTATTTCAGGTACTCAGCATCACACTGTCCGATGAATGAGTAATAACCAACCGGGTGTCCTCTGTAAACTCTAATAACTGCTCTTATTCAGCAGGAAACTGAGTTTAACAGCAGGACCCTGTTTACAGTCACTGAGGCTCCTACCTGCCTGTCACACAGCAAACACACCTGAAACATCTCCTCTGACCAGTGTCAGCAGCAGCTGAAACAACCACAACAACCAATATCAGTGATCAATAACCGAATGTATGACTGAATGATCTGATGCAGCTGCTTGAACAGCAGCAGAAATTAAAAGGAGCATTTTTCTTTTTGCTGTTAATCTGCTCTGAAGCGTCAGCGTGAGATTATCCAACCACAGAATACCGTCGGGTTTACATAATCTGAGCGAGGAGGTAAACTACAGCTGGACTGAGTGCTGGCAGCAATCTGCTGATACAGCCCATATATTATAATATATAAATATATATATGTATATATATATATATAAATATATAAATAAAGACCAGTTATATATAATACGTCTACCAACAGTGAAGCTGACCGTCCCTCCGTTTATATATTATAATTATATTATAACTCTGCAAACATTAATAATGTCTTTGACAATTAATAAAATATCACAAGACTAAATATTGTGACGTAATATTTTTTGATATTTTCTTCCTCCAGAACAACGTAGATTATTAATCCAGGATATTCTGTCACTGTAATCAGTTTCCAGGTGTTTCCATGACTGGTCTTTAAATGTGTGTGTTTAAACCCTGACAGCAGTGTTAGAGATGTAAACAGCGACTGTAATAAATATAAATACAGATCTATATGCATAATACAGTAAACTATTAAATATATATTATATATTAAATCAGAATTTGTCGCCCAGCTAACAGTGTCACAGCATACTGAACAGAGATATACGATGTTAAAGTGCATTATGTGAATATGCTCACATTCTTCAGGGACAAAGCTGTCTCTGTCGCCAGCATATAGTCTGTTATTGATTAGCTGATTAGTTTTAAACAAGAGGACAAGACGGAGCTCACATCATCAGATCTGATCTGTGTTATAAAACCACTGAACCACATTAATGGAGATTGTTAAATAAAGAGTTTGTGATCTGCAATAAAAGTGTTTTAGTGTCAATTTAAAATCCATTTCTTCTTATTGTAGATGTTCTTAATTTACTGACGTTAACCAGACTGTGAATGATCGATTATCAATCTGTTTGATCTAGTCTGGATATTTACTGTGGTTTTGTTTCTGTGTTCAGTTTGTTGACGTAATATTATATCTTTTTGTTTACTTGTTTACTTTCTATCGTTGAGTTTATCTTAAAGGTTTAATCCTGAAACAGAATCTCCAACAAGAGCACAAAGTACATTCTTACGATTATCACGATATTCTCGTATCTCTCAATCAATAACTTCTCCCGTTGTATCGTGATATTTATCGCAGATTCCCGATAGAAACCTTGTTTACTATAAAACCCGATCAGAGGCCGGTCTCCTGTACTGGCCTGGTGTGGACAGACAGACAGACAGACAGACAGGCAGACAGACAGGCAGACAGACAGGCAGACAGACAGGCAGGCACACACACACACACACACTGGATTAAACCCACAGTAAGTTGCAGACCGGACCAGAACTTACTTCCTGAACTATTTATGATGTCACACATCATGCCCATAAGCCCCGCCCCTCAGAATAAGTGCTTCCAGAGAGAAACTTTGATCTGATGAATGTGAATCAAACTGTGCCCACAGACCAGCCCCACACTGTAAAACAGCCCACAGTGCAGGAGCAGACTGCCGGGCAGCGGAGAGGAGCTCTAACCCTCCCGGCTCGCAGTGAACTCCTGCGGGGATCAACAGATGTTCGAGTCCGGCGGCGGCTCGCTGCCTGCACGCTCCTGCGGTTCAGCGGCTAACGGCCGAGCTAACTGCTAACAGTCCCCGCTGCGACCAACAAACTGCACAACCCCCCCCACAGCATCCCCATCCGCAGTCCCACACACCGGGCCCGGCCCTGGCTGCTGGATTACAGCGGGCAGCCCGCGCTGGGCCGCCGGGCCGCTGGCCCCCGGGCCGCTCGGCTCGGAGGGTTTGAACATCCCATTTATCTTGCTTTAAAAAGATGGCGGGCAAGCCAAGGCAAAATATGAGCTAGCTACCCGAGCTAGGCTACTTACCGACCCCGTACCTGTCTTTAATACGGTTACCGGCGGCAGTGGAGGCGTCTGTGTGCGCGCTGAACGGGATATGTCCCCGTTAAGTCGCTCTCCCGCCGCACACCGAGCAGATTACCGCCGGAACGAACAATCTGTGCAGATGTTACCGCTCGCTGTCTGCTAGCTAATAAGCCGTTAGCCTGTTAGCTGAGCTTTGTCTGAAGGCGCCGAGCGGCCAGGCTCGAACCACCGACACATTGTGCACTAACCCCGCTGCGTCCACCCGCCAACCCCCCCGGTACCGGACACAGAGACGTGTTTACTTTGTGTTTCGGTCCTCCGGTGCGTCCAGCGGCGGCTTCCGGTCACTTTTCAGGAAGATTTTTATTTAGCGAAGTAGCATAATAGATGAGTTATCAGCTGTCTACCGTGTGCGCAGGCGCAGTGGCGAGCAGCGTCTTGGATGTTGTTGTGATCGGATTGGCTGTCCGGGTGCTCGGGGCGCTGTGATTGGCTGCGGGGGGTTTGCGGAGCTACGATTTGTTGCTGGGGGATGTGAAGCGCTGTGATTGGTCGGTGAATTAGCTGAAGTGCACTGATTGGCTGAGGCGACGGCCGGGCTGCTGTGATTGGCTGGTGAGGTTTACGTGGTTCAGAATGGCGCCGTCGCCTATGAACTACGTTTCCCAGCATGCAGAGCGGCAGCAGGGCGCCCGAGGCCCGCTCCGCTCTGCAGGTGAGATTTCTGATGAATGTACTGATTTCAATCAATAACTGATAATAATATATTAATATTAGTACATCAGACTGTCATATAAACCAACAGGATTAAAACATCAACAAAAAATGATTTCAAAACAGATTCATTTGTATTTTTAATTGCATATACAAAAATAAAACCTTTACTTTAAAACACCTGGTGGGGAAACACCTGAGAGAAAATATGGAGGACAGACTCACAGGAACAGAATGAGTGCAAACTGGATCAAAACCACCAAAATAGATGAAAATACACCAAGAAATACAAAAAAACCCCCAAACATTAGAAATAAATCTTGGACTTATGTGTGTGATTGTTATCTTTAAAGGTCATATGTGAGATTTCGGGTAGGTATTGAATTTCAGCAGCAATTTTCTTATCTTTGTTGAAATCAATAAATCAAATGCAAAAGAAAAGAAAATAATCCAGTATCGGTATCAGACACTGGCCTGTAACAAGCTGACCTACCTGCCTACCTGAGTGCACTCAGGTGAGTCCTTCACCAGTCGGTCACACAGGTAACTAAAGCCACCGAGCACCGACCAAGAAAAGAAACAGAAGAAGAAAAGACAACCCATCAGCGCGGCTTTTTAACGATGGTGAGACCTGAGAGACAGATCTGTTATTTTCCTGAACTCTGTACTCCCAGGCACTGCAACGTTACATACCCTCTCTTTAATATATCAGCTAACATTATATTCTCTCTCTATATATAAACATTAATATTAAACATTATATTCTCTCTATATATAAACATTAAAATTAAACATTATATTCTCTCTCTATATATAAACATTAATATCAAACATTATATTCTCTCTCTCTGTATATATGTCATTAATATTAAACATATTCTCTCTATATATATAAACATTAATATTAAACATTATATTCTCTCTCTATATAAACATTAATATTAAACATTATATTCTCTCTCTATATAAACATTAATATTAAACATATTCTCTCTCTATATATATAAACATTAATATTAAACATTATATTCTCTCTATATATAAACATTAATATTAAACATTATATTCTCTCTATATATAAACATTAATATTAAACATTATATTCTCTCTCTATATATAAACATTAATATCAAACATTATATTCTCTCTCTCTGTATATATGTCATTAATATTAAACATATTCTCTCTATATATATAAACATTAATATTAAACATTATATTCTCTCTATATATAAACATTAATATTAAACATTATATTCTCTCTCTATATAAACATTAATATTAAACATATTCTCTCTCTATATATATAAACATTAATATTAAACATTATATTCTCTCTATATATATAAACATTAATATTAAACATTATATTCTCTTTCTATATATAAACATTAATATTAAACATTATATTCTCTCTCTATATATAAACATTAATATTAAACATTATATTCTCTCTATATATAAACATTAATATTAAACATTATATTCTCTCTCTATATATAAACATTAATATTAAACATTTTCTCTCTATATATATAAACATTAATATTAAACATATTCTCTCTATATATATAAACATTAATATTAAACATTATATTCTCTCTATATATATAAACATTAATATTAAACATTATATTCTCTCTCTATATATATAAACATTAATATTAAACATTATATTCTCTCTATATATAAACATTAATATTAAACATTATATTCTCTCTCTATATATAAACATTAATATTAAACATTATATTCTTTCTATATATAAACATTAATATTAAACATTATATTCTCTCTATATATAAACATTAATATTAAACATTATATTCTCTCTATATATATAAACATTAATATTAAACATTATGTTTTCTCTCTATATATATATATAAACATTAATATTACACATTATATTCTCTCTATATATATATATAAACATTAATATTAAACATATTCTCTCTATATATATAAACATTAATATTAAACATATTCTCTCTCTATATATATATAAACATTAATATTAAACATATTCTCTCTCTATATATATATATAAACATTAATATTAAACATATTCTCTCTATATATATAAACATTAATATTAAACATTATATTCTCTCTATATATAAACATTAATATTAAACATTATATTCTCTCTTTATATAAACATTAATATTAAACATTATATTCTCTCTCTATATAAACATTAATATTAAACATTATATTCTCTCTATATATAAACATTAATATTAAACATTATATTCTCTCTCTATATATATATAAACATTAATATTAAACATTATATTCTCTCTCTATATATATATAAACATTAATATTAAACATTATATTCTCTCTCTATATATATAAAAATTAATATTAAACATTATATTCTCTCTATATATATATATAAACATTAATATTAAACATTATATTCTCTCTATATATATATAAAAATTAATATTAAACATTATATTCTCTCTCTATATATATAAAAATTAATATTAAACATTATATTCTCTATATACAGAGTCACATGGTGTCTCTCTCCCTCTGCCTGTGTTGTATCGCAGCCTCTCTGTGGTTTGTTTCCATAGCCGGTCTGCTCCGACTGATTCAGCACAGCGCTCAGCGACCCCTCGCGTTCCGTATGAAAGCTTCTGCATTTGTCCTATTTCTGCACTCGTTCATTCACCCGTCTGTATACAGACAACCTTTAATATGGAGACAAAGCTGATTATTGATTATTAGATGATACAGTAAAAACATCATTGTGATTGTTCTGACAATAAGATTTGTTGAACTATTATTATTATATATTATTATTACCAATATAATGATAGTTATAATTTCTGGGATTTTGATATTGGTCATATTTCATATATTAGATTAAATAACTAATTTAACATGACTTTTTATTTAAACCCTCCAACCTCCTCAATTTGTGTAATTAATTACATTTCTTGGATAAAAGCTTCTTCATCTGAGTTAAAACAGTTATATTCTACTTTAAAGTAATTAAAAATGTTAATGTTGAATATAAGTGCGTATAATGTGTGTGTGTGTGTGTGTGTGTGTATATATATATTAACCTGTATGTTTCTATAAATGTATAGAACTCACCCTGATATATAAAATGTTTAAAACTACATATAGGGAATTATTTTATGTATCATATTTTTAAAAATCACCTGTTTTTAAGCTGCAGGTAAATCACAGAACACCTGTGTGATGAATGTTTGCAGCTCTGTTAGCGCCCCCTACAGGCTGCAGAGCGCATTACAGCCTCATCCAGAGCTCAGTGTTTGACCTGCGGGGGGCGCTACAGGGAAGTTCAGGAAACAGACCGCAGCAGTCTGATTATCAAGAAGCTTTATTGTCGTTATCAGAGTGAATATCATCATCATCATCATCATCATCATCATCATCATCATCATCATCAGTCCTGTTGCTATGGGCCTGAGTGCTGGACTGCAGGAGGCTGTAACATGCAGCAGAGCCGAGCAAACAGACAGGCAGGAGGACAGACAGGTAAAGGAGTAGACTGACAGACAGACAGAGGTAGGTCAGACAGAAAGGTAGACAGACTGGGGGCAGAGAGGTAGACAGGTGGACAGGTAGTAGTGAGGTAGGGGAAGAGACAGGTAGGTCAGACAGACAGGTAGAGACAGACAGACAGATGGGGGGGACAGGTAGCTATTGTGTTATTTACATACAGGTAGGCAGATGCAATAGAAAGCTTATTGGCTGTCTTCCAGAGGCTCCGCCCCCCTCTCATCTGTGTCGGCCAATCCCCTGTGAGGAGGGGCGGGCTCTGCAGGCTGGGGGGAGGGGTGTGAGGAGGAGGAGGTGGAGGAAGAGGAGGCAGAGGACAGCGAGAGGGGGAGGTCTGGGGGTTGTTCAGTCTGTAGACTCCCTCCCCCGCCTGCTTCGCCTCCCATCAGCGCCTCCTCCGCCTGCCCCGTGCCTCCTCCTCCTCCTCCCCCACGAGACCCGGCGAACTGCAGGTGAGGCAGGAGGGCAGCCGGGGCCTCCTTCTCCCGCTCTCGCTCCCCGACCGCCTCCCTCTCGCGGCGCTCGGCATACAGCGGCGCCTCCAGGCCGAGGTAGGAGGCGCTGAGCTGCCGCAGGTCCAGCTCGAAGGGGCTGCTGCTGGGCTGCACCGCTGCTTCTCCTCCCTGACCTCCTGATCCTGATCCTGATGCTCCTCCTCCACCTCCTCCTCCTCTCTTACTCTTGCGGGGGTGGGAGGAGGCAGGGAGGCTGTCGGGGAGCAGAGACTGGATCTTGGGGAGCCAACGTTTACGGACTCTGCGGGCGTTGGTGCACATATCGGCCGCAATGACGTTCATCTCACTCTCCTTAAAGTTAGGAGCAAAGTTCTGACAGTAGACTGAGGAGGAGGAGGAGGAGGAAGAGGAGGGGGAGGAGGAGAGGGAGGAGGAGGAGGGGGAGGAGGAGAGGGAGAGGGAGGAGGAGGAGGAGAGAAGAGAGGAGGGAGGGGGAGGAGGAGAGGGAGGAGGAGGAAGAGGAGGAGGAGAGGGAGGAAGAGCAGGAGGAGAGGGAGGAGGAAGAGCAGGAGGAGAGGGAGGAGGAAGAGCAGGAGGAGAGGGAGGAGGAGGAGGAAGAGGAAGAGGAGGAGGAAGAGGAGGAGGAGAGGGAGAGGGAGGGGAGGAGGAGGAGGAGGAGGAGGGGAGAGGGGAGGAGGAGGAGGGAGGAGGAGGAGGAGAGGGAGGAGGAGGAAGAGGAGGAGGAGAGGGAGAGGGAGGAGGAGGAGGAGAGAGAAGAGGAGGAGGAGGAGGAGTAGGAGGAGGAAGAGGAAGAGCAGGAGGAGAGGGAGGAGGAGGAAGAGGAAGAGGAGGAGGAGAGGGAGAGGAGGAGGAGGAGGAGAGGGAGAGGAGGAGGAGGAGGAGGAGAGGGAGGAGGAGAAGGAAGAGGAGGAGGAGAGGGAAAGGAGGAGGGAGAGGGAGGAGGAGGAGGAGGAGGAGGAGGAAGAGCAGGAGGAGAGGGAGGAGGGAGGAAGAGGAGGAGGAGAGGGAGAGGAGGAGGAGGAGGAGGAGAAGGAGGAGGAGAAGGAAGAGGAGGAGGAGAGGGAAAGGAGGAGGAGAGGGAGGAGGAGGAGGAAGAGGAGGAGGAGGAGGAGAGGGAGAGGAGGAGGAGGAGGAGGAGGAAGAGGAAGAGCAGGAGGAGAGGGAGGAGGAGGAAGAGGAGGAGGAGGAGGAGGAGGAGGAGGAGGAGAGAAAAGTCTCAGTGTTTCCAAAATACAGTAAAAAGACATAAACCCATGAGTCAGACTGTGTGTGTGTGTTACTGTGTGTGTGTGTGTGTGTGTGTTACTGTGTGTGTGTGTGTGTGTGTGTTACTGTGTGTGTGTGTGTGTGTGTGTGTGTTACTGTGTGTGTGTGTGTGTGTACTGTGTGTGTGTGTGTGTGTGTGTACTGTGTGTGTGTGTGTGTGTGTGTGTTACTGTGTGTGTGTGTGTGTGTGTGTGTTACTGTGTGTGTGTGTGTGTTACTGTGTGTGTGTGTGTGTGTGTGTGTGTGTTACTGTGTGTGTGTGTGTGTGTGTGTGTGTGTGTGTGTGTGTTACTGTGTGTGTGTGTGTGTGTGTGTGTGTGTGTGTGTGTGTGTCTTACGTTTGACGGTGTTTAACACTCGGTTGTCCAGAGGCTTTCGGCTCGGATCATTGGTGGAGGAGCGTATTCCTGTCCCGCAGCTATTGGCCAGAGTGTTTCTATGGAAACCATAAGAACCCAATCAGCACTATATGAGCTGTAGATTGTCTGCGGCTGTCAGTGGAGACTATATGAGCTGTAAAGCTGCTCTAATCATTGTTGGACGTGCTACGGTAAGCGTACTGACTCACTTCCGGTTTACTTCCTGCTCTGTGTACACTGTTTGGTGCTGTAGCTCTGTCAGTGAACGCTAAATATAAATTAGTTTTACTCGTTACAGCGGTTATTTACCCGCTTAACATTTAAACGTAGACTAGTTCTACTTAAACACTTGGAGTTTCTCCCTCTTTTAGGGACTTTTCACTACTTTCAAAGTTTTTCATACACTCTAGTTTCATTAGCATTAGCAGTTAGCTATGGCTTCTCCCTCTCCCTCTCCTCTGTCCTGCTCAGTGTGTCAGATGTTCAGTTATTCCTCTGCCTCCTTTAAAGATAATGGTACCTGTATTAAATGTAGTTTATTTACTGCGCTGGAGGCGAGGCTTAGTGAGTTAGAGGAACGGCACCGCACCACTGAGATATCTTTAGCCGCTATAGTTAGCCAGCCCCCGGTAGCCGGTGCGGGCCGACCGAAGGTAGCTTCTGTTAGCTCTGTAGATCCCCCGGTAGTTCCCGAGCAGCCGGGAAGACAGGGAGGCTGGGTGACTGAGCGAAGGAAGACTAGAACGGCGAAGCCCACAGTTCACCACCAACCGCTTCACGTTTCTAATACATTTTCCCCTCTCAGCGATACACCCGCTGAGGAACCAACTCTGGTTATTGGCAGCTCCATAGTCAGAAACGTGAAGTTAGCGAAGCCAGCGGCCATAGTTAAATGCATCCCTGGGGCCAGAGCGGGCGACATTGAATCAAATTTAAAACTGCTGGCTAAAGATAAACGTAAATACAGTAAGATTGTTATCCACGTCGGCGGTAACGACACCCGTTTACGCCAATCGGAGGTCACTAAGATTAATGTGGAGTCGGTGTGTAACTATGCTAAGACAATGTCGGACACCGTAGTTTTCTCTGGACCCCTCCCCAATGTGACCAGTGATGACATGTATAGCCGCATGTCGTCATTCCACCGCTGGCTGTCGAGGTGGTGTCCAGCAAACGATGTGGGCTTCATTGATAACTGGAAGCCTTTTTGGGGAAAACCTGGTCTGATTAGGAGAGACGGCATCCATCCCACTTTGGATGGAGCGGCTCTCTTATCTAGAAATATGGCGAAGTTTATCTCTAAAACCTGACAGTCCAGAGTTAGGACCAGGAAGCAGAGCTGCTGTCTTACACACTCCTCTGCGCTTTCTTTAGAACAGTCACCCACCCAAAACCCCATAGAGACTGTGTCTGTCCCCCGACCACCTAAACTATTTAAAGAAATAAAAACAAGAGGAGTTCAACATAAAAATCTAATAAAAATTAAAACCAACTCCTCAGTAGCACAAAATAAGAGAATGAAATGTGGACTGTTAAATATCAGGTCTCTGTCCTCTAAAGCTGTTCTAGTGAATGAATTAATATCAGATTATGATATTGATTTACTTTGTCTTACTGAGACCTGGTTGTCCCACGAGGAGTATGTTAGCCTAAATGAATCCACCCCCCAGTCATATTAATACTCACATTCCTCGAGGCACAGGCCGAGGAGGTGGAGTAGCAGCTATATATGATTCGAGCGTTTTAATGGACCCTAAACCTAAACTAAATTATAATTCATTTGAAAGCCTTGTTCTTAGTCTTTCTCACCCAAACTGGAAAACACTGCAGCCAGTTCTATTTGTTATAGTGTACCGCGCTCCTGGACCGTACTCTGATTTTATATCTGAATTTTCAGAGTTTCTATCAAGCTTAGTCCTTAAATCAGATAAAGTAATTATTGTAGGTGATTTTAATATTCATGTGGATGTTGACAATGACAGCCTTAGTAATGCATTTATATCATTAATAGACTCAATTGGCTTCTGTCAGAGTGTAAATAAACCAACTCATTGTTTTAATCACACTCTTGACCTTGTTTTATCATATGGCATTGATATTGAACATTTAATAGTCTTCCCACATAATCCTTTCCTATCTGACCATTATTTAGTAACTTTTGAATTCATACTATTAGATTATAAGCCATTAGGCAAAACTTCCTACAGCAGATGTCTATCTGACAGTGCTGTAGCTAAATTTAAGGAGGAGATTCCTTCAGTGTTTAATTCAATGCCATGTCTGAATTTAACAGAGTCCTATAACAACTTTAGTCCCTCTGAAATTGATAATCTTGTCGATAGTGCTACAGGCTCACTACGATCAACATTAGACTCTATCGCTCCTATAAAAAGGAAATTATTAAAACATAGGAGACTAGCACCTTGGTATAACCACCAAACCCGCCAGTTAAAGCAAATAGCTAGGAAATCTGAAAGGAAATGGCGCTCTTCCAAATTATCAGAATATCGCTCAAATTGGCAAGATGATCTTAAGATTTATAGAAAGGCCCTCCGTAATGCCAGAGGAGCCTATTACTCAGCACTAATAGAAGAAAATAAGAACAACCCTAGGTTCCTCTTCAGCACTGTAGCCAGGCTGACAGAGAGTCACAGCTCTATCGAGCCACATATCCCCATAAACTTAAGTAGCAATGACTTCATGAGCTTCTTCTATAATAAAATTATTACTATTAGAGAAAAAATTAATCACCAACTGCCATCAACAGTTATCAGTGGCTCTCCAAGTTCAGGGACTTCTGTCAATGTAAACTTAGATGTATATTTAGACTGTTTTTCTGCTATCGATCTTCATCAGTTAACTTCAATCATTTCTTCATCGAAGCCATCAACCTGTCTGTTAGACCCGATCCCAACTAGGCTGCTTAAAGAAGTTGTTCCCTTAATTGGCACTTCTTTACTGGATATGATTAATCTTTCTTTATTATCAGGATATGTACCACAGTCCTTTAAAGTAGCTGTAATTAAACCCCTTCTTAAAAAGTCTACTCTTGACCCAGGGGTTTTAGCCAACTATAGACCGATTTCTAACCTCCCGTTCCTCTCTAAGATTCTGGAGAAAGTAGTCGCCAAAGAGTTGTGTGACTTTCTACATAACAATAGTTTATTTGAGGATTTTCAGTCAGGATTTAGAGTTCATCATAGCACAGAGACAGCTCTGGTTAAAGTTAATAATGACCTTCTGACTGCTTCTGACAATGGACTTGTCTCTGTACTTGTATTATTAGATCTTAGTGCTGCATTTGACACCATTGACCATGATATTCTTTTACAGAGACTTGAGCATCAAATTGGCATTAAAGGAACTGCCCTAACCTGGTTTAAGTCATACTTATCAGATCGTACTCAGTTTGTACATGTTAACGATGAATCCTCCATAAATACTAAAGTTAGTCATGGAGTTCCACAAGGTTCTGTACTTGGACCAATACTATTTACTTTATATATGCTCCCTTTAGGCAACATTATTAGGAATCACTCCATTAACTTTCACTGTTATGCAGATGATACGCAGTTATATCTATCAATCAAACCCAATGAAATTAATCAATTATCTAAATTACAAACATGTCTTAAGGACATAAAATCCTGGATGACCTGCAATTTTCTGATGTTAAACTCAGAAAAAACCGAAATTCTTGTTCTTGGCCCCAAAAACCTTAGAGACTCATTGTCTAAAGATATAGTCACTCTAGATGGCATTAACTTGGCCTCTAGCACCACTGTCAGGAATCTTGGAGTTATCTTTGATCAGGATTTGTCATTTAACTCCCACATAAAGCAGACCTCTAGGACTGCCTTCTTTCATTTACGTAATATTAGAAAAATTAGACACATACTATCACAGACAGATGCAGAAAAACTAATCCATGCATTTGTTACTTCAAGGCTGGATTACTGCAACTCTTTATTATCAGGTTGCCCCAATAAGTCCATTAAAACGCTCCAATTAATTCAGAACGCTGCAGCACGAGTACTGACAGGAACTAGAAAAAGAGATCACATCTCTCCTGTACTAGCTACTCTGCATTGGCTCCCTATAAAATGTAGAATTGAATTTAAAATACTCCTCCTCACCTATAAAGCTCTTCATGGTCAGGCCCCTTCATATCTTAAAGAGCTCATAGTACCCTATTACCCCACTAGAACACTACGTTCTCTGAATGCTGGGCTACTTGTGGTTCCTATAGTCTCTAAAAGTAGAACAGGAGCCAGAGCCTTCAGTTACCAAGCTCCTCTCCTGTGGAACCGGCTTCCAGTTGTGGTTCGGGAGGCAGACACCCTCACCACTTTCAAGAGTAGGCTTAAGACATTCCTCTTTGATAAAGCTTATAGTTAGGGCTGGATCAGGTGAGTCCTGAACCATCCCTTAGTTATGCTGCTATAGGCCTAGACTATCGGGGGGATTTCCCATGGTGCACTGAGCTACTCTCTTCCTCTCTCTTTCTGCACTCATTCATGTCCCTTTAATGCATGTTACTAACTCCACTTCTTCCCCGGAGTTCTTGTGCTTTCTCGTCTCGCAGGTTCTCATGGATCCTGGTGGAGCCTCCTGCCATGGTCCTGCTTGACTGCCATTGCCAATACTGTTGTTGCTGTGCACCTGTCTGTCTGTCTGTCGCTCTCTCTCTCTCTCTCTCTCTCTCTCTCTCTCTCTCTCTCTCTCTCTCTCACCCCAACTGGTCGAGACAGACGACCACCCACCTAGAGCCGGAGGATCTGTCCTAGGTTTCTGCCTTTTAACAGGCAGTTTTTCCTTGCCCTTGTCGCCAAGTGCTTGCTCATGGTGGTACTGTTGGGTCTCTGTAATTAATGTTAAAGAGTTCGGTCTAGACCTGCTCTATTTGAAAAGTGTCCTGAGATAACTTCTGTTATGAATTGGCGCTATACAAATAAAATCGAATTGAAAAAATCGAATTGAATAGATTGTCTGCGGCTGTCAGTGGAGACTATATGAGCTGTAGATTGTCTGCGGCTGTCAGTGGAGACTATATGAGCTGTAGATTGTCTGCGGCTGTCAGTGGAGACTATATGAGCTGTAGATTGTCTGCGGCTGTCAGTGGAGACTATATGAGCTGTAGATTGTCTGCGGCTGTCAGTGGAGACTATATGAGCTGTTGTAAAGCAGCAGCTGGATGTTGGAGCCGCTCACTCTGTCAGAACCTTCCTGAACATTTCACTGATGTCACGTGATGTCTGATGATGTCAGAGCGTCTGGGTGTGACACGCTGGCGATGATGATGTCAGAGCGTAGAAAAGAGTGTCGGAGGTTAAACTGTCCAATCAGATAACTGATGAGTCACAGCCCGGTTAAAAAGTCTCTACGACCGTAATTCTACCGTTTTGCCTCCGTGTAGCCGCGAGCGTCCGGGAACGTACATGTGGCGCCGAAAACCTTCGACCACACGAGTGTCGACTGCACATGTGCAACAGGAACCGGATCAGGAAGTTTAACTCGCTCGTTAAAGCGGAACTAAAGTCCGAAAGGCTGCGAGCTCGCTGGCAGGGGGCGTGGCCTAATGGCTACAGAGTGAGGGACACCGACGGCTAACAGAGCTAACAGTGCTAACAGGGCTAACAGAGCTAACAGAGCTAACAGGGCTAACAGAGCTAACAGGGCTAACAGAGCTAACAGTGCTAAAGCTAACAGAGCTAACAGAGCTAACAGTGCTAACAGTGCAAACAGAGCTAACAGGGCAAACAGAGCTAACAGGGCTAACAGAGCTAACAGGGCTAACAGAGCTAACAGAGCTAACAGTGCTAACAGGGCTAACAGTGCTAACAGAGCTAACAGAGCTAACAGAGCTAACAGAGCTAACAGTGCTAACAGAGCTAACAGGGCTAACAGAGCTAACAGTGCTAACAGGGCTAACAGCGCTAACAGGGCTAACAGTGCTAACAGAGCTAACAGGGCTAACAGCTTTTATAGTCACTAGGGAACGAGCACATTCACGGCTAACAGTGCTAACAGTTGCTAACATTAGCTTTAAGCACTAGCGGCTCAGACAGGCCTTTAACATTAGTTTAGCTGCTCTGTAGGCTAACTGGCTGTCTGGCTAACGTAGCAGCTGCAGTCTGTGTCCAATCTTTATGCTAAGCTAGGCTAACCAGGTTCAGGATCTCTCACCTGTCGAAGAACGTAGCCAGAAGTCTCCTGAGCAGCACCTTGTGTTTGACTCCCGCACACAGGTGACAGTTCATCAGCTGACCTCGAGTCATAAACACACCTGAACCTGAACACACACACACACAACACACACACACACACACACACACACACAGACACACACACACACACACACACACACACACACACACACACACACACACACACACACACACACACACACACACACACAGACACACAACACACACACACACACACACACACACACACACACACACACACACACACACACACACACACACAGACACACACACACACACACACACACACACACACACACACACACACACACACACACACACAGACACACACACACACACACACACACACACACACACACACACACACACACACACACACACACACACACACACACACACACACACACACACACACACACACACACACACACACACACACACACACACACACACACACACACACACACACACACACACACACACACACACACACACACACACACACACACACACACACACACACACACACACACACACACACACACACACACACACACACAGACACACACACACACACACACACACACAGACACACACACACACAGACACACACACACACACACACACACACACACACACACACACACACACAGACAGAATATAAATATATATATTTACGTAACTCTTCAGTCTCTCAGACACTTTTGAGTTTAATGACCTTCCTAACAATCCTATTGCCACGACAGACACACTCACTGACTGTCTGTCATTAACTAACCTGTGAGGAAGAGTTGGACACAGACACACTCACTGACTGTCTGTCATTAACTAACCTGTGAGGAAGAGTTGGACACAGACACACTCACTGACTGTCTGTCATTAACTAACCTGTGAGGAAGAGTTGGACACAGACACACTCACTGACTGTCTGTCATTAACTAACCTGTGAGGAAGAGTTGGACACAGACACACTCACTGACTGTCTGTCATTAACTAACCTGTGAGGAAGAGTTGGACACACACACACTCACTGACTGTCTGTCATTAACTAACCTGTGAGGAAGAGTTGGACACAGACACACTCACTGACTGTCTGTCATTAACTAACCTGTGAGGAAGAGTTGGACACAGACAGACTTCTGATGAAAATAAAGTGACGTATTTCTGCTGTAATCTATGAATTCAGACATTTTATAAATTAAAGTGATTTAATGTTTAATGGACATTCAATCATTTGTTTTCGTCTGGCTCAGTCTGTTGGCACTCAGTCTGTCTGTCTGTCTGTCTGTCTGTCTGTCTGTCTGCATCCTCGAGCACACAGCTGCTTTTTGGTTTCACAGATTCATTTTGATTCACTTGTTGAGGTTTATTCTCCGTTAACTGTGTTTGAACTATTTTCCCGCCAGTGACGAGATAAAAAATAGGATTAAAAATAGGTCAAATAAATGAATAAACATGATTATAATCCTTTGTCTTTCTTTTATTACTTCTGGTTGCTTTTTCAAAGGTAAATATTTAATCATAAATGTTTTATGGCAATATTAAATTAAATTATCTTTTTATTTATTTGTTGTAAATGACCTCTCGCGGCCGACCTGCAGTACCCTCTCGGCCCACCAGGTGGCGACTGCCTACATCATGTCTGCTCACAGCTGGACAGGTGTTCTGTTGTCCTACCTGCCACCAGCTCCACCTTCTCTCCGGGGTCTCCCTCGGTGTAGAGTGACGGGTGGCAGCGATACCCGATCTGACTGATCAGACTGGCGGGCAGCGCCATGTTGTCCCGACCAACCAGCACGCAGGGCCGACGCTCGTTGGCCAATGGGAGGGAGAGCATCTCCATCTTCTCTTGGACTAGAACAAGAAGACCGACAAAGGAGAAACAAATGCTAACATCTTAGCAAAACGTTAGCTTACTAACAATTGTTGTAAATTAGCTAGTTAGCGATTTGCTAACTTTAACTAGCTTAAAATATATATGTCTCATTTATCTTTCAACCATATTCAGCACAGCTAGCATATCTAAGTGCAGGAAAGGAGGAAGTTGGTTGAGGGTCAACTGTGATTGGAGCACAGAGCAAAAGGGGGCGGGACTTATAAAGGGTCAGTTGTTGCTTTTGTGGGAAAAAGGACTGATGACAAGTTAGGGGAAGAGACGAGACAGAAAGGACTCAACGTTTGATCAGCAGAAAAAAACTCAGTACTGTCTGTTGTAAAACAGAATTAGCTTAGCATGATAGCACGTCAGCTGCTAACTGAGTTTGTTCTCTAAACCTTCTCTGAGCCGATGACCGCTACTAACCACTACTAACCACAGCTAACCACAGCTAACCACAGCTAACCACTACTAACCACAGCTAACCACAGCTAACCACTACTAACCACTACTAACCACAGCTAACCACTAGTTACCACACTAACCACTACTAACCACTGCTAACCACTGCTAACCACAGCTAACCACTACTAACCACTACTAACCACAGCTAACCACTACTAACCACAGCTAACCACTACTAACCACAGCTAACCACTACTAACCACAGCTAACCACAGCTAACCACTACTAACCATTACTAACCACTACTAACCACTACTAACCACAGCTAACCACAGCTAACCACTACTAACCACTACTAACCACAGCTAACCACTACTAACCACTACTAACCACTGCTAACCACAGCTAACCACTACTAACCACTACTAACCACTACTAACCACTACTAACCACAGCTAACCACAGCTAACCACTACTAACCACTACTAACCACAGCTAACCACAGCTAACCACTACTAACCACAGCTAACCACTACTAACCACAGCTAACCACTACTAACCACTACTAACCACTACTAACCACAGCTAACCACTACTAACCACTACTAACCACAGCTAACCACTACTAACCACTACTAACCACTACTAACCACTACTAACCACTACTAACCACAGCTAACCACTACTAACCACTAGCTAACCACTACTAACCACAGCTAACCACTACTAACCACAGATAACCACTGCTAACCACTGCTAACCACAGCTAACCACTACTAACCACCTAACCACTACTAACCACAGCTAACCACTACTAACCAATACTAACCACTACTAACCACAGCTAACCACTACTAACCACTGACTAACCACAGCTAACCAATGCTAACCACTACTAACCACAGCTAACCACTACTAACCACAGCTAACCACTACTAACCACTACTAACCAAAACAACTAACCACAGCTAACCACTACTAACCACAACTAACCACAGCTAACCACAGCTAACCACAGCTAACCACTACTAACCACAGCTAACCACTACTAACCACTACTAACCACTACTAACCACAGCTAACCACTACTAACCACTACTAACCACTACTAACCACAGCTAACCACTACTAACCACTACTAACCACAGCTAACCACAGCTAACCACTACTAACCACTACTAACCACAGATAACCACTACTAACCACTACTAACCACAGCTAACCACTACTAACCACTACTAACCACTGCTAACCACAGCTAACCACTACTAACCACTACTCACCACAGATAACCACAGCTAACCACTACTAACCACTACTAACCACAGCTAACCACTACTAACCACAGCTAACCACTACTAACCACAGCTAACCACTACTAACCATTACTAACCACAGATAACCACTACTAACCACTACTAACCACAGATAACCACTGCTAACCACTGCTAACCACAGCTAACCACTACTAACCACTACTAACCACAGCTAACCACTACTAACCACTACTAACCACAGCTAACCACTACTAACCACTACTAACCACAGCTAACCACTACTAACCACAGCTAACCACTACTAACCACTACTAACCACAGCTAACCACTACTAACCACAGATAACCACTGCTAACCACTGCTAACCACTGCTAACCACAGCTAACCACTACTAACCACTACTAACCACAGCTAACCACCGCTGTGGTTAGTAGTGGAGCTTGGACTGTACCATGACGTCACTCACTGTAGGGGTTTCCGGGATGTCCGTAGATGTGTTGGTAGAGTCCGGGGTGGACCGTGTTCCCGTAGTAATCCTCCTCCAGCTCTTCCTCGGTGGGCGGGTGAGAGGGAGGGGAGTCTGTGGGAAGACTGGAGCCTCCCGGACTGGAGCGCCCCCCGCCTGCCAGCAGGTAGGACTGCAGCCCTGGAACCAAACCTCCACCTGCACCCAGGTAGCACAGAGCGCTGCTCCTGGAAGACTGCAGGTCCCCGGCGAGGTCCACTCTGAGGACAGAACACGGACCAGTTAGACCAGGAAGAGACGGACAGAACAGACTTTATTTACTGTAAAACATCTAATAAAAGAGTCCCGAATAGAGGCAGGTCTCCATTAGAGGCCTGGTCTGGATTTTATAGGGACAATCTGGATCCATAAAACCTGTTTGTAACCCTGCTGCTCAGGTAGTCTTTTGATACGAGACTCTTTGGCTACGTTCTATGGAGCCAGAACAGTCTCATAATGGATAAATGCACACAGAAATGAATAAATGCAAGAAAAAGGCCTCACGAATGTATTTGTGGAGTTGTATATATATATAAAGAGTTCGGTCTAGACCTGCTCTATTTGAAAAGTGTCCTGAGATAACTTCTGTTATGAATTGACGCTATACAAATAAAATTGAATTGAATTGAATATGACTCGATACACAAATGCATTTTCAATGCACACACAAATATGCTTCAATCCATAAAAAAAAAAATTATACATATATAAAGATAAGATTTGTATTTGTGATGCATTTATTCATTTCTGTGTGCATTTATCCATTATGAGACTGTTCTGGCTCCATAACGTTCAGACTGCAGGCAAAAGCCCAAATACGACTTTTTTGCCCATATCTGATTTATTTATGTCTGAACAGCTCAGATCTGATCCACTTTCATATGAGGTCTTAAATCAGAAACATATCTGATATTTCTCAAAGCGACTTCAGTCTGAACAGTCATATCGCATTTCATCCGACTTTTACATCATTGAAGTGAGACAAACGTGACAATGCAGTGCCGGAGGAGGCGGGACGCGGCAATATCATAATCATCATCATAACTTTGTCCGATTGTACAAATACTTCAAATCGATACGCACACACTGACATGTGTAGCATCCACATTTACGTCCGTAAACACAGTGTGCTGCGTGTGCCATCACATCTTCTTCAGCGTATGCGGGTGACTTCGGGGCCGTAGACTGTTGTCACGTTTAAATTATAATGCGAATAACTACGCAAAAAATCTCAGCAAAAAATCTGAATTAAGCATTAAGACCTAGCCTTTGTCTCTGGGAGCTGGATCATGTTTGATACAAGTAATATTCATACTTAATAATCAATTTGAGAGTATTTCCAACTTAATAAATAAAATAACAATAAGTGTTCTATTAATGGACATTTTACAGTATTTTACAAAAAGTAAAAGTTTTCTCTGAAGATATTTTGAAGCTTTAATCAGAGGTCGAAGTAACAAACAAAGTACAAATAGTTTTCTAGTATCTGTACTTTACTGGAGAATTTATTTGTATGACAACCTTTTACATTTTTACAGAAATATCTTAATAACTTTCTGCTGCGTACAGGCTCATTACTTTAGTTTGAATACATTTGAGGGAAGTTGATGTATTGGGGGAATATATATATTATATATATATATATATATATAATATGTTTTATGTCTGAAGTTAGAACAATACTTCTACTGTGACACAGTTGGTACCAAAGGATGCTCTCTAACACTGAGCTCTGCAGCCTCTGACAGACAGTGGACATATTGGTTGAAGAGGTTACGTAACACAAAACTGGGCTTCTGAGTGGACCTTTAAGTCCGGGTCACAAGGTCACCAAGAAAACCTTAAAACCTCCCACAGATCTGCCTCCTCACCTGGCCTCCTCTCCTCCTCCTCCTCCTCCTCCTCCTGCTGCTCCGTTCTCCTCAGCAGGAGGAGTGTCGGCTCTCTCCTGTTTGATCCTGCTGACGGCCAGCAGCAGCTCCTCGGGGCTCAGGGACGGCTGGTCTGGACTGGTCTCCTGCAGCGGGGGGGCACTGTGTTGCTGCTGGACCATTGGGGCGTCGAAGCCCCCAAGCTCGTCTGCTGAGGTTGTCTGTCGTACATCAAAGGGTTAAAATAAAGTTAAAAAGAGACGCTAATGCTCCGAAAAAACGTATATTACTTACATTATTATCATCATGCTGCGCAGTTATTACGCGTAACTTATTAATTTAAATTAAATATAATTTAAAAGGTGAGTTGTACAGTGTACAGTGATCTCTAGAGACCAACAGTAAACATGTTTATTGTTTATTGTTTATTGTGCAGTTTGATAATTAGCCGGACTCACTGCTGGAGCCTCCGGTGGCCACTAGAGGAACTGCAGGAACACCTTAAACTGCACGAATGCTAACGTTCGTACCAAAGAGAAAATACTAAACACGAGATAATCAATGAATGTGACGAGATCTGTTCGTATGTCGCTAGGGTTACTGAGGAATGTATCTTTAGGGTTGAACTCTCTGATTGGCTGTTTGTTAGTGAAATGCACCCTGGGAGTCACAGTTGACTCCTTCAGCCTTTATATCCACAATCAGATGTTTTCCAACACGTTTAGTTTCTTGTTGGTCGCAGACTGAACATGAGGAACAGGAAGCAGCTGTCCTGCTCTGTGGGCGGGGCTACACCCACCTGTGAGTCGCAGCAAAGAGGCGAGGAGGAGGAGGAGGCCTTCATCATCATCAGCTCCATGCCTCGCTCCACAATGTTCTGGATCTGCAGGTACCCGGCAGTGTACATGAGCACCAGCTGCTCGCTGGCGGCCATGCTGAGGCGTCCCGTGTAGCAGAAGGACAGAATCTGCTGAAAACACGTTGGCGTCACCGAGGACGGCAGCTCGAACACCGCCTGGGAGGAAGAGGAGGACGAGGAAGAGGAGGAGTCAGCTGCGGAGCTGAACAGGTCTCTAAAGTAGAGCGAGGAGGCGGCGAGGACGGCGCGGTGAGCCTTGAAGGCCTGACCCTGCACAAGGATGGAGACGTCGCAGTAGTGACCCAGCAGCCGCTGCTCGTTCAGGCTGCCCAGCACGCTGCTGCCGAAGTCCGGGATCTCCACCTGCAGCAGCCCCTCCGACATGGTGGACGCCGTCAGTATCGAGGAGGACGGGACAGGAAGTGATGGAGGGGCTGGACTCGCTGGGAGGAGACGGTCCTGACCAGCCAGAGGTCAGACGGTTTAAGTGTCAGGGATCCTGCAGAGAGCTCCTCCAAAACGTTTCAGATCCATGATGATGTGGAGGAAACAGGGAGGTCAGAGGTCAGTGCTGGGGGGGGCAGAGGGGAGGAGCGGAGGAGGGGGGTGTTCAGGTCAGAGGAGTTGAGTCAGAGCAGGATGGAAAGGAGGAGACTGGAGATCATCAGGATGGAGGTCGGCTCAGCACAGGGACACAGCTACAACAGGAGGAGAGACAGGGAGGGGGGAGGAGGAGGAGTAGAGGATGGGAGGTGAGAGGGGAGGAGGGGAGGATAGAGGAGAGGAGGGAGGAGGAGAGAGGGGAGGAGGAGAGAAGGGAGAGGAGGAGAGGAGAGGAGAGGGAGGAGAGAGGGAGGAGGAGAGAGGAGGATAGAGGAGAGGGAGGAGAGAGGGAGAAGAGGTTTAAAGGATTACACTTTCACACTTTCTCTTCTACCTGCAGAACAAACTGAGGAAACACCTCCACATGTGACAGCTCACAGTTTCTCCTCGTTGTTTCCTCTCCTCCCCCTCATCCCCCTCCTCCTCCCCCTCCTCCTCCCTACAGGAGGCCCAGACAGTTTGCACAGAAATAAAAATGAGTTTCAGGAGATTCTGTAAACTTAAAGAGAAGCAGAGAGTGGATGAGGGTGTATTAATGAGCAGAATGTGACACAGTCAAACAGGGTGTGATAGTGTATCTTAGGATGATCAATAATCATAATCACACAGATTAAGATGATATATTAGGTTGTTATTAACGGGAAGAAGACCATGTAAACACAAACAGGAAGTAAGTGCATTAAAGTTCATGCATTAATACTGGTTCACTTTCAGGCTCTCTGCCGGCAGCTTTTGGGCTTTGTGCTGGTTTGTATTCTCAGAGTGTCGGCCTTGTTTTTACAGGTCAGTAACAGTGGGTGCAGATACTGCAGCACTTACTCTGTCTGCCTATTGAATGATCAATATGTGGCTGTAGGCCGTTCCAGGAGAGATCTACATACTGAACAATCACCATGCTACAAAGAGAGCTCGCATGTATTCAGAGCACAGCGCTAAAACCCTGAACGGAGTTAGCATGTTAGCTAACAAAGTCAGATGTCTGAAATAAGTCTGTGGTTAACTCAAGCTTCAAACCGGTCAGTAACTATCCGTCCTGTGAATGCTAACAATGCTTAAAAAGGTGGTTGCTAACAAGTTGCTAATGAGTCTAAACGAGACTACAGAGGTCGTCTGATCAACTCGTCCACCTGAACAGCTTCGTTGTGTTTATACTCCAATAAAATATTCTCACTTGTTAGTGAAGATTATCTAACTGATGAAAACGTGTCGGTATCATAAACCTTTGATCACCACAGAGATTATTGTCTGCGGTAATCTGAGACTACAGAAATACATCATCACTGCAGACAATCAACAATATGATATACTTCTTCTATGCTGGCACAGGCAACCAGCATTTACAGTAAACCGGAGGGACGGGGGGATTAGACTCTTTCACTCTCCAATCATAAAAATATGTATCCATTAAACACCAAACATCATCAGCATATGCTGTTAGTCTTGAGTCTTCCTAGCTCGGCTAACTTTGGACTCCAAATCCAAAAGAATAAAAGTCTCAGAGGAGAATTTGTTTCTTTCTTTCACCACCAACGCTGCTGGTTTACAGTTTGTTTGATCTGCAGAGAAATTTTAAGGCTCAGAAATGTTTTGTGGCTCCAAACAGATTTTCTTGTTTTGTCTCTTTTGGTAGTAAACATTGCTGACCTCAGATCTGATGAAGGGGGTCATTCCTACGTTCCTCAGATTTTCACAGCACAAAATGGGATTGGGATATATTAGAGTCCCATTTCCCATAACATGGTCCTGCAAATGTTTCACAATAAAAGCCTTGTTTGGAAATGAAGGGATTCTGAGTACTTTTAATTTGAAAAAGAGTTTGTTAATGTAATAACAGGGCAAAGAGGAGCCAATCAATGAATCAATCATAAATCAAGCTACTGATTTACAGAATGAATAATCCTATAAATGATTTACACTTTGTCCTCCTGAAGAGTCTGTTATAATATTCTGTCTACTAATGACGTGTTTCACTCACCTAGCAGACTGACCATGTCAATGGGTCAAAACCAGCAGAATATTCTGCGATTTGAAATGAGGCAAAAAGCCTCCTTAAGAATGTCGAGATCAGGAAACTCCAACACTAAACTGACTAACGGTATGAACGTCATCATTCAGTCACTGAGTCAGATACAGACTTTAGGACTTTAGGACCT